GCTCAAAAATGGATGGCGCGGCACTCCATCATCATGGAAGCACATCTGTAGCAACGCTCATTGCACATGCAAACCTGTTGTGATGCTCCGTCAGTGTGCCCGAAAGCTGTATCACATTGCAGCTCAAAAATGGATGGCGCGGCACTTCTTACATCATGGAAGCAAGTCGTGCAAATGCTCACACCCTTGGATTCATGCGGTTCTTGGCCAGCAAGCATCTTTCACCAAAGCTGGGAGTTGTTCTACAAAAAGGAATCAGGTGTAAGAGGACTTGACAGGCTCTGGGATTGGGCAATGTCATTAAGACATTCAGGGACTGGTACCAAAAAAGATATCATATCACCGAAGCAAGAAGCAACCAAGAATCCTCAAGATCATCAGCACAGTGATAGCAATTGGGACTTACCCCGACCGGTCCCTTCGCAACCTCGATCCAAAGCTCCCATGCGTGGCGCTCTGCAGCCTGCTGCACAGGGATTCCAGCCATCATTGAAGGGTTTTCTGATATAAATTTGGAAGTTCAGGGGCATAGGTTTGTTACAGATATGAGTTTTGGGATCGGGCTGGGCAGTTCCATTAGGCTATCCCTAACTGTGCAGGGGTCGAGTTGAACCTGGTTCTGGCAATTGTGGTTCGTCCTGAGCCCTGACCACGTTCTGCGAGGGCGCCATGCATTTGATTTGTGCTCTGGTTCTGTACATGCTTTGAAGTGGCGTCTGAAGTCTACGGAGAGATCCTAGCAAATCATCTCCACAGAAAACTCACACGAAAACTCAGCGGCTAAATCGGCTAAACGAACGTCAGCTCCGTTGAAGAAAGCTCAGATTTCCGCTGCTCTGCCCAGAGCCTCGGCACACAGCAAATACGCAGAGATGAAGGCTATAGCTCGACAGCTGCACTGACCACAACTTAGGTCCATTTGCGAAGAAGGGAATCGATTTCCTGCTCTGAAGAATGCCTTGCCACCCAAATGCACCTTGACTCATAAAAGCTCAGCAGACCTCATGTCAAATTCCATATAATCCCATGCTTGTGCACAAACATCAGACCAGAGAACACAACAGCGGCCCCAGTATAAATCCCATAAGAAACCTCTTGATGACAAACACCTCCGCTGCACACCCTGCCTACTAAGCCTCAATCGAGAGCGTAAACCCAAGCCTTGGACGCTGGGCACAAAAGTCTTTTCTGACGAGCTCACCCAAACTGGGTGCACTGCTTCTGCCAGAAGTCACAGTCTGCCGCATGCATACCTATCGTGATGCTTGTCACCAAACCAAGGGTAACACCAAGGATAACATGGACAAAGATTAATGCCTGAAGAGAAAAGACAAAGATCCACTAGTTACATTGCCTTCACATCCTTTGCACTGAGGATTCAACAAAACAGAGCATGGTGACTGTCTCTGCGGCGTGCTAAGCAGTTGGACCTGAGAACTGCTGGCTCACAGGATAGGCTGAGATTCAGAGGAAAGATACTGCTGGCTTCCCGGAACCTGCACGCATGCGAGGCCTTGAGGTCAGGCAAAACAAAATCATTAAGACTACAAAACGGATCCGCAAATCCGCAAAGGAAGAACTCATGCCCATCAAACCTTACACACACTCCTTGATGAATCGAGATGCCACCCTGCACGGCGATTCCGAGTCCGTCTGCAGCTGGGTCTGAGAAGACCTAGCTGGGCGCGCAACTGCAGATGAATTCATGGTAAGTACCCTCACTCAAGATGTTTGTCAGATTAAGGGTTCGCGGGCGGATGCGGCGGATTTAGAGCATAGGATATAGGTCTTTGTTTCTTGGTGCTGCCAGCTCTGCTCCAAGCCCGAAGCCTGCTCCAAACTGAAACCTTGCTTGAACAAAGAATGCACTTGTCTCGCAGACTGACGTTGTTTAGACGTTGCAGAGAAATCCAAACGATTCCAAGAGACACCGAATGCGCACTTGATGCCCAAGCCAGCATTTCCCATTATCCATGCAAACCTCTCTCCAGGTCAAGGAACTCTGGAACGCCTATGCCTTGCACCGACATGTACGCGACAGCTACAGAACTCGGCAGGTCCCCACCGAAGGCTCCACTGGGCTGCGGACCAAGGTGGCGGCTTCAGCAGCGGTCCCGTTGTAGCGTGGCCAGGAGATCCTCAGCCACGTTGAGCTGAAGAAGTCCAAACAGGAAAACTCAGCTTACGCCTACAAGGTATGGGGCCCTTGCTCAAGGACAGAAACTCGATAACTAAAAAAACAGATGATAATTTCAATCATTTTCACGTTCGCACTGGCTACAATGCCATTTGATGCTGAGAAGTCATGACCCATTGCAGCCCCGCAAAACATGGCCAAGACAGACTTGAAGCTGTCTTGAATCCCGTCATCGAAACACGCCGCTGCATCCTACAAGTCTAAGTCTGAAAAGACTGAAGCTCGTTCGGCACTAGAAGGAGCACTAGACGGAGAAAGACCTCACTGAACACTGCGTGTAATTTCAACAATCTTAGAAAGCTCTCCTCAGTAGAAGCCCCAGGCACAGTGGCCGAGCTCCTGTAGCGAAAGCTGCCCAGTGTGCTCCTGAGTTGGGGTTTGACTTTCCAATGAAGCACGCAAAGCTTTGATCCTTTTTGGCGTCATGTCTAGTAAGCTTGCTAATACGTAATTACTCGTAATTGGTACATTTGGATTCCCGCCGGCTTTCATACATACTGAATTCAAGATCGCCTGGCTTGAAATGGACGTTCATTGCTGAGTTTACAGGATTCCGGCCCAGAAGGGGTGCACTAGTTTGAGGTCGATGACACAAAACCTCAAATTCCTGCGGCGCGCAGGAATCCTGGATGAGCTGCAGAACATGCCACGTGGCAACAACATGGCCACTTCTTGAGGATTATCGGTTGACACAAGGCTCTCTGGGATCTGGGAGTACACAACCAGACAAGTTTTCCGCGAGTCCCGGCTACTCTGGCACAATTTTCATGCAAAGAAGCCTACAAACATCCACGGATACGACATAAAATCATGTTATTATCATCCTATCAATCACTCAGCGTATTCAACTTGAGTCTCCCGTCAGCCACCCACTCAGCCAACCTGCAAGGAAGACCATGAACCCTAAACCCTAAGGCCCTAAGAACTTACCTCAAGGAAATTGATGATTTTGATGTGAAGCCACACGGAAACAAGAGGCGCATCTGCTTGCTCAGCTGCCGCTCTCCAGAGTCAAAAGTGCAGATTGTCCTGAACAGAAGGTCTGCGGTTCAGGCGAGTCTCTGGGCTTCGGAGCCTTGAAAAGGTCCCTCCACCCAACCCTACCTGTTTTGGGATCAGAGGCGAGTCAGGCACACAAGTTTTGAACAAGAGTCGGGGCGCCAGTCAGGAACTGTTAGGAGGATTAGTCAGAAAGAATGCGGACGCGAGTCAAGAACGGGAACAGGGTGAGTCCAAAATGAACAGGGGGCGAGTCAGGACCAGCAAGAGTTCTAATCAGAGGCCTCTAGTGTACGTAGACAACACGCCGTTCCGTCAGTATGTCTGTGCGCGGTTTGGGGGTTAGGTTTGTTCTTTCTTGTTCCTGACTCTTGTTTCCGACTCGCCCCCTGCCCGCTCCTGACTGAAGCCCTCGCCCAGCTCTGACTTGCCCCTCAACTACTCCATTTCTGACTCAGCGCCCTTCCAGCTGACTCGCCCAACATCCCTATACTTGCAAAGGGTGTGTGAGTGTGGCCCGTCAATTTGCAACTTTTTGCCATGGGCCTTGAACCTACCAGCGCGAAAATGAGAACTACACTCCTGAAATCCTTCTTTTTCACTGAAACAATTCCACCCCTTACAACTAGACTCGCACCTTCTACAAGTAGCTGCCCAATTATCTAAATCCGCTGCCTGTTGTTTGGCGGACCCAGTCCATCGGGACCGACCTGACGGGCAAGCAAAGGTGGGGGCAAGCTTGGCGGACCCTCCATGCCAAAAGTTTGGCAAGCCTAACTTCTCAGTTCAAATCAGCACGGCATGCACAGAACCTCAGCACCTCCACTCATGCACGAGGTCAGCTGGCTTATGTGAAGGCTATTTTTAGCACTCAATTTCTCTCTCTCAAAGCGCGCCTCGTTTCCAAAAACAAACTTCACCTGGGCAAAGTTTTGAGTATTTGCGCTCGAGAATGCTTCGGATACTGCCTTCCATGGTTGGCTTGCAATAAGAAATCCATCGGAGGATCTACATTCTGTGGATGCTTTAGCTGAGGAACTTCGTCCCCGTGCATCGCGAACAGCTTCCTCGGTTGCTGCCTGTCTGTCCATGCTCAGCACAAGACTTTGACCTTCGAAATTACAAGGATCGCTGACTGCAGATCCGAAAGTCCATCTCACAATGGACCACTGCATGACAGCCAAGCTGAAAGGAGCCAAATGTCATGAAACACTTACGCACACCCTCTCGCGGAGCACCATTCCAGTACAACATCACTCTCAGAATCGAAATCTGACGCTTGTCCCAGGCACTTTAAGAGGCACTCACCTTACGTTGATTGCAAACCTTCCTTGTTGCAGCACAAGGTCGTGTACTCGGATTGTCGCGGTGGCGTAACGTCTAGCTCGGCACCATTGGAGCAGCCAAAGCCATCCGCACGCAATCGGGATGGAATGTAGTGGGCGAACTCGTACGACCAGGTGTCCACAAAGGCCTTCTTGTCCGTGGAAATGCACAACTGTGGGGTCTCTGTGTGTGTGTGCGTGCACAATTGCGAGCACGTATGCGGGGTGTTGATTTAAAACGAAATGCAAACAGCTCCGCAAAACATGTTCATTGCTCAGTCATGTTGATTCAAGAAAGGCAACACAAGATGTCACTGCAGGGTGGGTGCTGAGCTGCCAAGCAGATGTGAGGGTGTTTTGGCCTGCGCGTGCTGCAAAAGCCTCAGATCGCACGTGACACTACCTGAAACCCAAAAGTGGTGGCATAGCTGTGGCACAGCACGATACTGTAAGTTTCCGAGCATCCTCGGACGCCCTATTTTCTCAAAAACATGGACACGGTACTCAACATACGCGGATAAAACACGTCCTTCAGGACTGCAGACGAGTATGAGTGGCACAAATGCCACGAAGAAGCTGGTAGGCGGGACAAATGACCATGGAGTCGGCGTCAACTTGCAGAAATGCCTTCTGCGGGCTTCCTTCGAATCGCGTCAGTGGGTACTGTTGCAGGACCTGAGCGGCAGTGGCAGTCGTACTGTCGTCGCTACCGCATGGTCAGAGAAATCCTAGAACCCCTAGACATGAGCACTACGAGCATGCATACGATTCGTGACGTACTGTACAACCACGATGAAGTACCCACACATCGCCACTCGATTGCTGGGTGATATGGTTGCTAATGTGTGTAGACGGCCTTTCCAGCCTTAAGCACCAAAGGCCACAGCCCACCCTCATCATTGATTGCGGTGTCCAGAACATGAAGTGCGAACAGAAAGCAGGCATTGCAGGAATAGATTCCTACAAGTATCTGTTGTCTATCAGTCAGAAACAGTCGGTCATCAATGGCTGCTACGCTCACGTGCTTAGGGCCGTGACTCGACGTTGCAGGAGTGCACAAGTTGCGTACATACTGTCTCAATAGAGTATCATGCATGTGCAAATCTTCGCCATCCAATTGCAAGCCCAAAAAAAGCCGCAGGACTCCGAATAAACATCGCCACAAGACAGGAAGCTTGCAAGAAAACATAGGAATTGCTCGACTGCTTTAGCCCAGAGCACCGCCATTGACTGGCTGCCCCAGACCTTTCTAATGGCTTCCTCGTAGTCTGCCGGAAGCGTCCTCATGGCTTTTTTTTAAGCTTTGATTTGTTTTCAGGCACCTGTTTGGCTTCTTCTGGTTGAGTTTCTCATGCAGATGTGCCTTCAAAGCTTCACAGTTCGCGGATTCAGTGCAAGGAGTGGGATTGGTGCTTTTGGGGGGTTGCCGGAGCCGGGTCTCTACAGTGGCTAACCCAACTCAACATGTCAAAAGACCAGGAAATCAACATCAGGTCGGCATCACGATGTGATGAGTTTAGCCCACTTGCACCAAATTGTTGACAGGGCTTGAATACTGCTACGAGACGCTCATGGCAAAACCTCCAGGAGCTGAAAGTTAGAGCAGCACGAAAATCAAGTCATGCTGAATAAAGCTGATGAATACAGGCCCCATCTAAAGCCTACACGGAGCAAGAAGAAGAGCTTTGAGATGAACCCAAGCTAAGCTGCCAGCACCAAATTCAACCCCGCTTCACACACAATCCAACCCGAGACTCAATCTTTTTGAAACATCATGCCCCGGCGGAAAACTGGCAGCCAGCACTCTGCAGAAGTTCCATCTTAACCGATACTTAACCGCACGTTCCATGTACCTAAAAGCTTCTATGAACTATCACGACACCTTGAAAACTGAGCAGAAGAAACCTTCATCAAACCTCAACCTGTCAGACTGCAACTAAGGTGTGGCGGGCATCTGATTCTTGTCGCCAGGGACCAAGCCCAGTGTTGGCCTAGGATGTGCTTGTGTTCCATGCTTCCACCATGCATGTTAGCGATGGAACATATAGCTTTACGTTGGATCGCCTTGGGGGTGGGTAGGCTACAAGGGTGCTGGCACCAAGACTCCCGTCACAGCGTACCTGCCCCGTGACCAAGAAGCTTGAGCAAAAGGTTGTAAATTGCAAGCTGACATACCACGCTCTGCCAGCCTGAGCTGGCAACCTCTAAGTTGTGAACATCGCCAAGCGACGCAACACCATAGAAGGCGGCTGTGCCATCCTTCGAATTGTGGCCTCTTGAACTATGCAACGTCATTGGAAGACTCGATATTTTGGGCTCAGCATGAGGAATTTGACATGACTACCTTTTGCACAAAGGAAGTAGCTCCGCGTTACCTGAAGCAGGCGCCCATGTGTGAACCACAAAGAATGAATCTCAAACCCTCAATGATTAGGTCTGATGGCACAGACCCCAATACCTTGCCAGCACATGCCGCAGGACCTGCAATGACACTCTTCGGGTTGATCATCCCTGCAGCCCACAGCGTCCTGAGCTGAACAGGAACCAAACCGCTGGGGCGTAGGGTGAGCTTCTGGAGCTTTCAAAGCCAGCCGAGGAACTGTTGACTGCAAGACTGAACCCGCTTAGGCTTACTTTACAGCGTACTGCCCAGAATGGTATGACACCTCCAGCAGGGAAATGTAGCCGTCACCTCCCGTTCATCGGTGCCCCACATTGTTCAAACTGTATGTGGCAAACAAGATGCATCTTCCAGGAAGGATATCACGTGTTCAAAGTAGTTCCAGATTCTAATTACAGTCGCCAGGCTTCTCTGCTGGTGCTGGCAGGAGCCCTGGATCCTGCAAGTGGTAAAAAGAGTAGCATTGAGAGGTTGGAAAAGGGTGGTCAGAGAGATTATGAAGGCAATCTTGCGCACAGTCTAAGCCGTGTAATAAAACAGCCGGTGACAGCTCCGCACATTCCACTGCCTCTCGCTGAGATCCGTACAGCTGCAGCCAACGCAGCAGGGGCGGCACTCAGTTAGGAAAAATCAAGCATGAGACCCTCACCCCACATCTGATCCACATCTGAATGCTTGCAATATATTTACGAACGTCCTCAAAGTAACCAGAGAAGTACGGAGCCACAGAAGGGTCATTCCTTGAATCGCGGAAAGGCGGTGTGAAGGTCAAGCTTCATTGAGTGAGGACTTGGGTTTTTAGGTTTCTAGGCTGAGAGCTTTGAGCCCCTTACATATAAATGACCTGTAACTCATTGGCTCTCCTTTCCAAGTGGCAACTCCACAAATTCAGCATGTTCAGACACAGTGCTGCGGTAGCGTGGGATCCAAAGGACACAAAAGCTGGGGAGGGCCAAGGTAGGCTAGGCAACATCCTCTTTAGCCTTGCCCTGCAGTCCCCTCCAGGATTCCCAAAACACTCAGCGCGTCTAACAGAAGGATGCTCCTCATGGTGGATTTCACTGGCAAATGCAGTCTGAAGCCTTGTAACCAACAAGAACAATGTAAACCCCTGCAGCACTTTGTCTGCCCAGCCACATCGTGTAAGCGGGCCACTGGACCTCGAGCCCCATGAGCCCAGTATCCCTAGAAAACCCTGGCCCGGCTGGATGTAGCAAACCCTCAAGTCTGGCAAGTGCTTTTGTGCTAAGCTCGGGCAAGCAAGATCAAATCCTGAATCCAACAGCTCACTGCACCCGACGCCTTCTCCGCAGGCACCTGGCGCAGCTCCTGCAGCGTTGAGACATTCAGCGCTCGCATCACCTCCAGGCGCGCGGAAGGCTTGGGTAAATAAAGACTGTGCAGAAGGCCGAAAGGAAGAACACTGAACACCCTGGCTATGCAGGGTGGAGGTAATGATGGGTTTTGCTGCAGCACTGTCAATGGGAACAGCAATGAGTCAAGCTCCTTGAGACATCTTGAGACAACATGCTGCATGATCGCCTAAGCAACCTTGAAATGAGCAGCCTTCAAGGCTGAAAAGTCACAAGTGGAGCTGCATTCGGACCTGCCTCCGATGTGATTCGCTGGCCGTAGGTAGCATTTCGCGGCCCCCAGCCTTGAACATGCACGGAGTTCTGATACGCAATTTGGCATGCAATCTGTCAAACGAGGCCTGTGCCAAAGGATGAGGCCTGCTGCGTTTTTCGAAGCGATCTTCAACGAAGACGGGCATACTGGATTCACACAGAGCAGTCTGACGTCAATGGTAATGTGATAGTTTGAGGTTTGTCCACCTGGCTGCTCAAACCTGCTCATCTGCGACGGTATGAAAGCTAGATCTCCTGTGCCACTACTGCGCGTACTGCCAACAAGCGCCCGCGGACTTCAAATGAATTCTACGCTGAGATTCCCCGGTTGGGAGGGCCGCCGAAGCATGGTCCTGCCAGAAATGTTGGCTCCGCTGCTCCCCCTCTGGCAAAAAAGGCTTGCCACTTCAAAATCCTAGAGTTACATTTTCAGAATAGGTGGGAGCGCTCATGTCTTCGTGTTGGAGAGCCAACTGCCTTGGTTGCGTTATCTTATTCTGCATCGACACCTTCCAGCTGACAATGCCACTCAGCCTGAACGTGCGTTTCACTTCAAAAAGGGTTGCTACGCTTGTAGCGCAGTAGCACAGATAGATGCACAAGCAGACCGGTCATGGTAAGGATACATGTGCTGAAGGAACCTCTCTGGACACCCTCATACCGGTCAAAATCAAATCTATTGATGTGTCATTGCCATCCACTGCGTTACAGCCCCACTTCTCAAGGCAATACAAGACACGTCGAAAGTCCTGACAGCACATCAACGCCTCTAGTAAACTTCACATCTGACTTTGCCCCCCAAGCACCGAACGAATCCAGGGTCAAATCCAGACAAACCAATGGTCTACCCTGCATCGGCCCTTCTGGCAGGAAACATTTCGTGGAGAAAAAGAACCTACACCAGACCCTGAGAACATCAAACCGTGTCCTGATTGCAGGATGGCTCTTTGGAACAAGCCTCTGGCTATCGGTGCCACGCTGAGGGTGCAGGTGGCCTTGGCTATCAGGTTCACTGATTCACATGTCAGGGCATAAGCTCTTGGCGCTGGGTTTAGGATGCGTGGAGGCTTGGGTTCAGAACCTTGAAAAATGGTAGGAGGTCCTCGTCCTTGAGCTGGGTCATTCTCCGCTTACATGCTCACGATGGCCTCCCAGTAGAGCCTAGCAAATTCTGGATAAGTGGCATAGGATCCCGAGCTTTGGCCGAAGAGCGTCACACGGCCAGGATCACCTAGCTGGCAGCACCTACAAAATCGAAACAACTAAGCACTGAAGACAACGGAAATGCGAGAGTGGCAAATACTAAGGATGGGCAAGTCAGACGCTCATTACGACAGTGCGGACTGACTCAGAAGCTGAGACTGGTTTGCGAGCGTATGGTCACGTTCAGCTTCTGGCCCTAGAATCTTGAACCACAAAATACCACATGGATGTGGGGCCTTCGAGCTGAAACATGCAGTAAGCAGTGAAACAGAGCTTGTTGATGAAACCGGCACAAACAACCCTCATGACAATGCCTGCTCATAACCCCATCTGCTGCGCGAGATCTGTCAAGACTTGTAAACTGTTTGACTACCTGGGACATGACGGATATTGTCTTCCATGTGTTGAGAGATGCATGTTGAACTCCCAAACCCTGTTACAGCAGCAGCACTCAATCCGCAGCCCCCTGATAGCGATCCAGCGGCCACCAAAGTAGGGAACGAATCTGGGGCAGCAAAGCGGTTGCGTCGTGCAAGCTTTCGGAGCTGAAGGGCTAGATAGTGCATTTGTAAAGGACTGCAACCCGCTCCTCAGGACACCTGGACCTGGTCAATGCAAGACATGGAATGAGAGAGAAACATCCGTGACGAGTCTTACGCCAGCTTTGAACAAGCCTAGCATAGCAGGAGTGGTTCTCCAAGAATCGTGTATGCTTCCTGCTGGTTTGGAGGGATATACCAAGATTCCGAAGCCTCATGACTTCACAAGAATAACCAAGAGTTGCGCTCCGGAGCAGAGAAAAACAGTAGATACAGCAGGCGTAGCCAGTGTGCTGCCCTTCTTGCCTAGACTTGATGGGCTACATGAAAGACGTTGTCGATCCTGAATCTCTCTGAAATTTTGATACTCAGAGTGTAAGCTGGACTGGATGCTTCTCTGCAGGATGCTGAACAAACACGCTAATGTATCCGTATCACGAACCCTTCGAATTGAATGACAACAGTCCATAAACCCCCTATAAAGCATTCTCTCTGGAAACAAGGAACTGAACTCTCTCAGAGATCTCAGTCCCGCGCAAGGGTCAGGAATATATCATAACTACAGGGGGCAGGCTAACAAATGCCGAAACCCTAAAGTCCTTTCTCCCTCACGTGCATTGCTTGCCTCATCTACCCCATCCTTTGATCTGGTTTAGGCTAGCCTTGTCTGTGCTTCACCACCACATTTTCAGCTTTTAGGTCTCAGCCAAATTTCAGCACAGTATCCTCTGAATCTGAGGCCAGGAAGATCATATGAGCTATAGTCTAAACTTCTAGTATCCCCCTTAAAAAGCCCTATAACACTCCCCTATATAATCCCCTTAATAACCCCGTTTAGGGAGTTTAGATTATGGCTCATATAAACGGCTGAAGCCCAAACAGGTCCTTCTAGGAAAAGCCTGCAATCAGGAATAGAGATGCTCACAACATGTCCCTCATCATATAGCTGCGATTACCAACCGAAAACTCCTTCATGGGGAGGAGCACAACGCTTACCCCCACTTTGCATCTTCTTTGCAGCAAGATTTCTCAGGATCATGATCATGAGGCCACAGCCAGGCGAAAAGAGAACAAAGGTGACGTCCGGACTAGGTAGAAACCGGGATTAAGGTTTGATGCACAAACACCATGCCTGCGAGGCCTTCCCTAAAGGTCATTACCATTACAAGATTACGCTCTTTACGACTATGTTCTGTCGCGTCAAGACTACACTGCCCGTCACTCTTTCTTGCAATAGATTACCCTGAACTTCTCAATAGCAACTTCTAACAGAATGCAGTCGGCACCTGTTCAGCCATGCAAGAGCAACTGCGATGTCACGAATCCCATTCCTCACGGGGCAGGAGCTTTGGCTTTCAGGGCTGTAACAATCGCAACCAACAAACAGGCCAGATATGGCCACAGAGACAGAGGCCCTGTGCGTGCCAAGCACAACCTACGCAATGAACCATGCCCCTGCAAGGCTGCATGCACGATGCACATAATCTACTTCAGCAAGAAAGCGCAACACCCGCAGCGAGCAAAAGTCCACATTATGCCAATGCTAATGCAACACCACATGTGTGTTCAGGCTTCCTTTGCGGCTGTTCACACCTGCCCGAGGCACATTCCGCCGTTGCCGGGGCCATCGAAGTCGTCGCTGACGAGGAAACCGAGAGCGCCGAGGCGATAGGACACAGTGACCACCTGTGGCTTTTGAACTTGGCTGACGTAATCGGTTTGACAGAGCCTGCACACTGCTGACGCCGTGCTCAGGCGGTTAGGGGGTCAAGGTCCCTTGGCCTGACTGCGCAGAGTTTCCCTTTAAACAGGTTGCGATCAATTCGCAGGAATTTGTTGGGATAGCGATGTATAAGCTTATCGCAATTAAGAGCAGGGTGCCATTGGAGTCTGTGCGGCTTGGTAGGAGTTCTCAATATTGTGGATCAAGGATTTCTGGGGGTTTACAACGGCTGCTCAGTGTATATGAGTTTACAGCGATTATTGGAGAATTCTGGTAAGGAAGATAGATGTACAGGGATGTCCAGGGTCTGCATGGAACGAAAAGGCTTGATTTGAAAGGATGCATGGATCATGAGGACGCACAGGGATTTCACATGATTTTATCGGGTTCCAGATGGGTGGTGCGGAGCAGGCTATTTGCACAGATTCATGTCTACGGGGATGCGTCGAAGGTTGTAACATGGACAGCAATAAGAAGCATCGTCAGAACAACATCAACATGAAGCATATCCCCCTGGTTTCTTCTCACCTCCAGACTAAAAGTTTGTGCACAGAATCCTATGTTAGTAATTGTAGTGTGAATAAGTTCATTTCGCTTGATGTGGGGTAGTCGTGGTTTCTTTCTTCCATCCCTTCTTGCTTCCTGTTTTGCTCCCATCCTGGCCTCCTTCCTCTCTGCATTCCTCCTGTCCTCGCCTTCCTTCCTTTCTTCCTGCCTTGCTTCATTCCTTGCTTCTTACTTTGGAATGGCGCCTGCAAGAAAAAGTGACTAACACTTCGCTGTCCCATAGGCTGGACTTTCTAAAAAAATGCAGTCTTGGTGTCTGGCTACCTGGGAGCCTAGGATGCCAGGTTGCATTTCACGAAAGCCATGAGGGGAAAGGACAATGACGCAAGACCAGAGTTTGTGTCGTCTGGGGCTCTAAAACGTGAACCACAACCGCTGCACAGTGTCGGATGGCTGAACTGCACTGCTGAAGCACAGCAAAGGATCCTTTTCTTGGGAAAATCCTGAATCTCTGAAGATCCGCAATGGGTGATTGCTACGGGCTAAGTCTGGGAGGCTTCTCTGCAACAGGGCCAAACCTCAACTGACATTCGTGATAACTAGAGCTCGAAATTATCATCAGATTTCGAGAATAATAGCAATTCTTCACACTGAGCTCTGCGCTATGACACCGTGCTCGATTGCAAAGGCAGAGCCTGAAGCTTGCAATCCCATGTTGAGGAGTGGGAAGAACCGTGTAGTTTTGTGCAGTAATGGAACTCATGAAAGCTCTGTTTGAGTCATGTCTCTACCTCCTAGTGCCCAGCGTTACCAAGCCACTTTGGGTTCGATTCTGGTTTGCTAGGGTCAGGGTACATTCCCAATGCCGAAGCCCAGCGATAAATTTCTAAACCTGCAGGCAAGTTGAGGCACAGAAGCACGGCCTCGCAAATGCCACTCCGAGAATCCATCATCACAGAATAGAAATCAGCTACGCATGCAGCTTCCAATATATCTTCTTAGGGTCAATGATCTTGCTAATCAGTTGCAGGCATAGTAATCCTCTAAACCCCAGCATTAGAGCTTGAAAAATATCAAGTCAATGAGGTTGCGATGATAGACTTCCATGGGCGACGACCCACCCAACAAAAATTGCATCTGAATTTTGTCAAAGGAAGAGAAAACACAAGACCCTTTGCTATGCAATGCCCCAGGTCCGAATCTAATCATGATTCGAATCCCCAGACAGAAAAGATCGCAACATTTTCCCTGGCCCTTCTTAGTACTGCCCAGGAAGATCCCGCGGCCCAGGGCCCCAGCCGTTGAAGTAGGGGTTCCCTGCGTAGCCGCTGCAAAGACCGCCGCCAAAGTTGTAGACCATCACCTAAAAGGAAGCACAGTCTCTAGTGAAAAAACATGATAAAATCATGCATACTTGTCTCTTTGCGTCTTCTGGTATTCCGAGCCTTCGGGCAACCGCAAGCCTGCAGCCTTCTCCCTGCAACACCAGGTCACGGGGCGTAGCTCCACGTCTTCGGCTGGGGTGGGTCTCCAAATGTTCCTTGTGTGGCATCAGCTTGAACATCTGAGGATCATAAGAGCATTGAAACATCTTTAAAAAGGGATAGTCCACTAGCAAATGTGGACGGTCACCAGGATCGTGGGGGTCGGGGTGGCAGTCACAGGGATTGTGTGGGTCGGGGCCACGATCCTTGTACCTGCGCTTTTGGACCCTCGGATCCTTCCGGTTTTGAAAAGCGTCAACAGTCGCAGAGAAAAGGGGTCACGGTCGCGATCCTTGTAGTTGTTGTTGCTTTTGGAGCTTCGGATCCTCTTGGAGTTTCAAGAGTGTCAACAGTCAGAGATTGAGGGGGTCGCACCGTGCATCTGCGATCCTCCTACCCTCCCTTGCGGCAAACATGACGATGACGTGCTGCTTGTTGACCGTGCGCATGGATGTTAAAAAATCAGGGGGTTGGGGGGCCACCCGCTTTCCATTTGGCAAAATCATCCGCACAACCTTCCCTTACTGCACGCATCGTGATGACATGATTTTGTTTACCACCTGGATGGCCTTAAAAAGGGGGATGCAGGGGCGCAGCCCATTTGCACACAAAAATGATCCGCATAAACCTCCCTTACTGGAAACTGTGGAAGCGCATGTTTCCTGGCAAGGGTTCCCCCAAGTTTACGTTGCTAGGAGTGAGGGCTTGGAGCTTGCCAGCCAAACTCTCCGTTTAGGGTGTCGGGCTTGCTAGCCAACATTCCTTTTCAGGTTTCAGGGTTTGCCAGCTAACGTTCTGTCATAAAGCTGAGGGTTTGCCTGCCATTTCTTGTTGTTGCGCTTTGCGTGATTCTTTCTTTCTTTCCGGCTTTCTGCTTTCCAGTTCTTCTTCTCTTCTTACGTTCTTTTTTGCTTTCGTTGCTTCTTTCATTCTTGCGCGCTTGCTTTCTCGTCATTTCGTTCTGCTTCCCAACACATCCAAATACTTCGACGAGAATGGTGCTTCCAGCGAGCAAGCGATGGGACATCCATTAGCATCTCATGTAAAGAACATACGAAGGTCCAAAAGGTACAAGAATCACAAGGACAGAGAGCCCGACCCCAAGAACGCCTGTGACTATCGACACTTTTCTAACTCCAAGAGAGTCCGCGGGTCCAGAAGCGGTCGACATTTGCGAGGATCGCGAGCCCGACCTCTGCACTCTGTGTGTCTGTTGGCACTCTTGCAGCTCCAAGAGGATCCGAAGGTCCAAAAGTCCAAAAGCAACAACAACTACAAGGAACGCGACCGTGACCCCTTTTCTCTGTGACTGTTGACACTTTCCAAACAAAGAGGATCCTAGGGTCTAAAAGCGACGGCAGCGACGAGGATGGCGACCCCGACATCCACCATCCATGTGACCGTCACATGTGGCTGGTGGAATAATGTATTGACTATGATTTACAGAACGGTACGCATTGCAGGCCTATTTTTACATGACCATGAGGGTAAAGTAGTTCAATGTGTTCTTTTAATATTCGTAGGTGTATATGTGCGTGTTACATTGTCCTTTTATAACACATCTTCCAAATAATGTATTTTTTGACAAGCATCCTTGTAACAGTTGGGCTATTTTGGTTCAGGAAAGCCCTGTGGACGCCAAAACCAAGCCACCTACTTGCAACCATACGTAGACTAAATGACTTGCTGCAACCGCCAACACTCCAGCACACCGATCAAAAAAACGAACACACATATTGTCTGAAAACCTTCGGCGCAAATTCCACGTAGCTGCACAGACAGCTCGACTTAAATCTCACGCGCCCATGCAAACTCCTTCGTGTGAGACCGAGCATATTGATTCCCTGAGCCCCTGGCAGCTTCAAACAATCCTCACTTGGCGCTGGCGCGGAATCCTTGCCGTAGCCAAAAGATGGTCCCAGGCTTCATTTCGCCCTTCTTTGCAACCATCAACAAGATTTACTGCGTCTGCCAGTAACTCAGTAAACTCTAAAAGCGGATTTCCCTCAACCGCGACCATCAAACTCCAAAAGACAGCTCGTACCAGCGATTTCGGCCTCCAGCAACAAAAGCTCACCGCACCCGTTGAGAATTTGTTGCTTGCTGCCCCTTGCAAGACACTTAACGACAAACGAGCTGACTCATCTGCGCCCATCGCACCATCTTTCAAAGCGGCCAACCCTCAAGGTTTTCCAGGGTTGGCACGAATCCCTCAGCCACTTGCATCAACAGCTACCGGCATACAAGGCACGAGACATCCTTTCTTGCAGTAAATCGCTTGAGAGACATGATTGTGCACACAAAGCGCAAGCGTAGGCTATGAGATAAATGAAAACCGCCTTGAGCAAACACAAGTACAGTTTCCACCCCATTCTTCTTAGGTTTCAAGCCGGCTTCTCCTTGCTGGGTTTAGGGCTTCCACAGTCCTTCTAAAGCTTTTGAGGTTTCGGGTTTCCACGGGTTGCGGGCTTCCACCACCCACTTGACTTTTGCATCACTTCTCACAAATTGGTTGTTCAATACTTTTCGTGCTTCCAGGATCGAGGGCTGCCAGCCGCCACCCCTTTTTTGGGTTTGAGTGGTTCAGGGCTGCTACCCTGTTTAGGGTTTCGAGCTTGCACCCCCGTCTCCTGCTAGACATAAGGGTTGGTCTTCTATGAGGTTTTGGTTGTTTTTGAGCTTTAGGTTTTTTGGGTTTTGCGGTTTAGGATGGTTAGGGTGATATGGAGTGTTTTGGGAGCAGGGTTTTTCGGGGTTAAGGGCTCACCCTCCCCGACGGTGTTGGGTCGCAGATTGTTTTCTATACGTTTTTCTCATTTATTGTTGTTATTCTTGCCGTTTCCTGCTCCTTGGACTATACTAGTTGGTGGTGAAAATGATGCAAACTGACGAGGAACATGCAACTACTGAAAATTCATGAAACTAATGGAAAATGATGATGGATAAGGATAAAAAAGTGCTGAGTATGACTGTAACATTGATGAAAAACTCCTAGGACATGCAAATTGATGGAATGACGATGAAAAATTACGAAAAACCATAATGATGAAACACCATGTAAATTGTGAAATACGGTGAAACATGAGGAAAAACTGCCAAAGTGCAAATGACGGAGATGATGGGAAAGCATGGAAAACTTGATGAAAAAATGTAAACGACTGAACACATGATGAAGACAATGAAAATCATGCAAAATGATGAAAATTGACGACGATTACAATTATGAAACCTGATGAGCATGATAGAAAACTGATGAAAAAAACTATGAGGATGTCGAAATATGATGCAAATGATGACAGATCATGCAACATGATGGAAGATCATGAAGTTCATTAAACCAATGAAGGCTGCTGAAAATAACGGAAAATTGATGGGACATGCTGAATACTGATGAAACATGGTGAGAATCACCGAAAGCCATGAAACATAATGGCAAATGATGCAACTCCATGAAAAATGATGAAACACAATGAAATGATGAAAACTGTTTAAGACTGTTGGAAAGATATGAGATTTAGATGAAACATGGCGAAAATGATGAAGAATAAGTGTCACGAACAATTATGAACCATTGTGAAACATGATGTAATATGAGAAGACGATGAACTGCGATGAACTGCGATGGAAACATAATAAAATGTGCAACAGTTTGTGGCAAACTGGCGCACATGATTAAACATGTATCATATATATATATATATTATATATATGTATATTGATATACATTTCATGACAAACTGATGAAAAAGGACGCACACATTCAAAAGTGATGAAATACCACGAGAGATACGGTAATTTCACGAAACATGATGGAAAAATGTTAACAAGCGAATGGTGAAAGTACGTTGAAGGTTGCCACATCCACTTGACGTTGTCTGGTTGGACTGCTTGCTGCCATTTCCATTCGCAATCACAAGCCCTGACCTGCCATCCTTGCATCTGCAGCGCCGCCAGCTTTCAAACGGACAAGACCACTTAAGCGTTTTGGGGCCTTGAGTTTCGGATTTAGGGAATGGTTTGCTACGTTCAGGCTGTTGGGTTGGTGGGGTTTAGGATGCGGTGTTTTGGGGCTTCAAAGTGGAGGCCGGGCTTCAACATTCAGAACTCCTGAAACTCCAGTTTGAAATGAATTTACCGCTTTCATCCGCTTTCCCATTTCAAGACAAGTTTCCCATCGGAGCCTTCAGGTAGTCACCAGCCGACAACAAAACGTTATTCAACAGGTACACAGCGACAAATCCAACCCTCTAAGACCACCGTGCTCCCTACAGAAATCCATGGCTACAAATTCGCGTTTACAGGCTCGAAATCAAGGCTGTGGCGGTCCTCGTCTAGCGGCACCGACCGAGGATCACCCAAGGGGTTGTTTATACAGGGGGCACCCAGCCTGCGTGCCTCGCCGTTCGCAAGTCAATGTTGCTGCTTAGGCTTCGGTTTGAGAATGACTGAAAACAACCAGATCTCAACTGTCTATCAACCAAAAGCCATGACCTGTGAAAGGACTTGCATGCTCGTTGAAGTCAGGGATCACGACAAGTAAGACTCATCAATCAAACAGTGCTCGATGACTTGCCCGTGTAAAAACATAGGTTGCGCCGCGGGGCATCCAGCCGGCTTTGCGGCCAGGGACTGTCGCTGAGTGATGCAGCAGCGAATCGTCGCGGCCCGACTGGGGGCAGTGCATACGGGATGCCGGCGTAGCGTTCCTTCAAACAGTCAGAAGTCAAAAACTAGCTTCCACATAAGTTCGTTCCCCCATGATGGACGGTAGAAAAGCTGCACTTTTACTTTGTGTAAGCTTGCGTTTCCTCAAATCGCACTTCACCTTTTCTTGATCTTACGAATATTTTGGACGATGCACCACTCCATGTACACT